CCTCCTCCCTCCTCCTCCTCCTCCTCCTCTTCTTCCTCCTCCTCCTCCTCCTCCTCCTCCTCCTGCTCGCCCCTCCTCGCCCCAGCAAGGCGGCGGGGCGCCGCCTCGCCCTCCCAATACATGGCCTGCAGCAGCTCCATCCGCCTGGCTGGCTGCACGCGGCGGTCGCGGTGGCTGCGAACCTCCATAGGCAGAGGGGCTCTGACTGAGGAGCCTCGAAGAAACAGCCTGGGGGCCCTGTCTTTGAGGGATGCAATGACGCCCCTACCCTGAGTTACAAGTGCGTGGTCTGCAAACCTCCTGCGAGCTCCGAAAAGGCACAGAGCCGCCAGTAAGCCGCGCGACACGCGCGATACGCAGGGTTGATCCTGTCAGCCCACAGGAGGTTCAGCGCACAGCGCCTCGTAAACCAGGGTAGGGGCGTTTTTGTTGAGCCCTTGATGTCTGGGCCTAACTCAGAAAATGCCTCTGGGTGACCTCCAGGGGCACATTGTCAACGCACCCCTAAGGCAGGCCAAAGTCCACGCGACAAAAACAACGCGCTTCGAACGCCCCCCCTCGGAAAAAAAAAGAACGCCGACAGCGAGGCAGTCCGCACGCGCGCTGCGACGTCAGAGCCTCTGACGTCGCAGCGCGGCAGCGAAGCAGTCCGCACGCGCGCTCGGGCGGCCTGGGCAACGAAAAACGCGACTTCACCAGCGGCACGAGGAGGAAAACGACAGGCGAAAGCGGCCGCGGTGGATCCAGACCCCCGACGTCATGATTTTGTCAGGACGCGCCCATTCGACCGGTTTTTCCTCCCGGATCGTTTTTTGACGGTCCCGAGGTCTGGTAAAGGCCGAAAATCCGCCGACCCTGTCGGCGTGTGTGAGGGGCTTCTCCGTTCGACTCGTCGTCTCCGTCGTCTCCGTTCTCCCCCTCCCAGGGCTCTCCTCCTCACGCGCGATATCCAAAGCGAAATGAAACGACGTCGTAGTGGAGTCGAAGGGAAGCCCCTTCCCTTTGATCCCTTCCCCGCAGGGGGGGGGATGGGGGGGGGGCCCGGGGCAGATACGACGCCCGCCGGGGCGCACTTTCCTCGAGCGGGCACGCACGGGATGCACTTCCTACTCCTCCTGGTCCTCCTCCTCCTCCTCCTCCTCCTTTTCCTCCTCCTCCTCCTCCTCCTGCTCCTCTCCTCCTTCTCCTCCTCCTCCTCCTCCTCCTCCTCCTCCTCCTCCTCCTCCTCCTCCTTCTCATCCTCCCGCAGAGGCGTCCCGGGAGCGGGCCCCGAGTCAAAATACCACCCCCCTAGGGCGCATTTTCCTCGAGCGGGCACGCCCGAGATGCACTTCTTCCTCTTCCGGGAGCACGTCCCAAGTCAGAATATCACACTCCCGGGGCGCACTTTCTTCGAGCGGGCACACAAAGGATGCACTTCCTCCTCCTCCTCTTCCTCCTCCTCCTCCTCCTCCTTCTCCTCCTCCTCCTCCTCCTCCTCCTCCTGCTCCTCCTCCTTCTCCTCCTCCTCCTCCGCTTCCTCCCCCCACTCCTAGCCCTTTCGATCAGGGTCGGCGGCACCGGCCGTCAGGCCTCTCCAATCGTGGAAAACCTCCCGTCGTGTTTTTTCCATTGCGCGGGGGGGTCTAAGGGAGGAGGGAGGGGAGGGCACTCACATGGCGAGGTGCGCCGCCGCGGAGCGGCCGGGGCGGCCGGCCAGGGCGGCAGAGGGATTCAGCCACGGCAGAAGCACAACTCGGGGGGGGGGCGTGAAGGGTTGGTCGGTGCAGAGGCGGGGTTGGGAGGCACATCGCTCCACACGGCTCCTGGAATTTGGAGTCCCATAACGGTGCGGTGACAGACCGTGCGGTGACCTTGAAATCCCCCAAGACCTCACCGCACGGTCCGTCACCGCACGGTTTTGGGACCCTGGAGGCCCCTATCGCCCGAGACATCCTCGGAGAGGGACTCGAGTCCCAAAACCGTGCGGTGACCCCGAATCCCCACCGACTCACCGCACGGTGTGGTCACCACACCGTCTGGGGGCCCCCGATGGAACAGGGGAAACATAATGACACCAGAAAAGAACCCAATGATAGGATGTCTTGATCGGTAAAGAGATCGACCGGGAACCCGGAAAACAGCGAAATTGGCCCGGAACCAATAATCAAGAACCCGGGAACCCGGAACCAGGAGCCCAGGAACCCGGCCAGCCACCAAAATCGGCGGGACACTTTCGCCAAATCTGTCGATTTCCGCTGAGACCCCTTCAGTGCAAGCACTGATTGGGAAATGTGCGCGTCAAGGGGGAAGAGGAGGAGGAGGAGGAGCAGGAGGAGGAGGGGGGGGGAGGAAGAGGGACGGGGAGGAGGAGTAGGAGGAGGAGGAGGAGGAGGGAGAGGAGGTAGAGGAGGAGGAGGAGGGGAAAGAGGAGGGGTATGGAGGAGGAGGAGGGAGGAAGGAGAAGGAGGAGGAGGGGTGGAGGGGGAGGAGGAGGAGGAGGAAAGGAGGAGGAGGAGGAGGAGGAGGAGCGAGGGAGGAAGAGGAGGAGGAGGAGCGGGGAGGAGGAGGAGGAGGAAGAGGAGAGAGGCGGAGGGAGGAGGAAGGGAGGAGGAGGAGGCGAGGGGAGGGGAGAGGAAGAGGAGGGAGGAGGATCTCGGAGGAGGAGGAGGAGGAGGAGAAAGAGGAGGAGGAGGTAGGAGGAGGAGGAGGAGAGGAGGAGGGGAGGAGGGAAGGAGGAGAGGAGGCGATGAGGGGAGGAGGAGGAGGAGAGAAGGAGGAGGAGGAGGAGGAGGAGGAATCCGCGCGGAGCTCCCAGAGGTTATGCTGCTTACGCGGTTGCACTTCTGCAGAGGAGGCTGGGCGGGCGGTACTAGGGGTTGACCTCAGCGGGGGGTGCAGGGCCCCTTCAGAGCTCCTCTTAGAGCCAGCAGGGGCCCAAAAGGGGCCCTGAAGGTCCCCTTCAAGGCCTCGATCCTCGATCGAAGATCGAGCACCAAGGATCGAGGATCGAGGGCGGGACGGTCGTGGTCGTTTCCAGGCTCCAGAAACCCCTGCGCGTGGCTCGGGCGGGTGGTAGTTAACGCGTGGTGGCCCACACGGGGGGGTGCAGAGAGGGGCCCTGAAGGGGCCCTTCAGGCCCCTGCTGGCTCCAAGAGGGGTCATCGAGGGCCCCTTTCGGGCCCATTTTCTTCATCGCCCCCTAGTTGGGCCACCCCGTCCACCCGCCCAGGTGGCCCTAGGGACCGTCAGAAACGACTCGGGGGGACATGACCGGTCCTGGGAACAGGGTCCCGACCCACGGGGCTCCGCGCTGTGAGAGTCACGAAGGAGAGGAGGGCGCCCAAAAATCCGACGCTCCCCAAGAAATGTAGCGACAGGTTTTTGGCCGTTTTCGGCCTCCTGGGGCCCTCGCCAGGCCTCGGGACCGTCAAACATCGGCTCAGGACGAAAAGCCGCCCTGGGGACGTGGTCCAGACCTCCGGGGCCCACGCATCGAAAAAAATTGAGCTTCCCGATGTCTGGGTAGAACACTTCGGATGCATTCTGAACGGAGGGAGGAGGGAGGATGAGGGAGGAATGAGGGGCGATGAAGGAGGGGGTGTCGGATGTCTTCTGGAAGTGTTGGTCGGCTTTACCACATGTTCGGCTGGTTGAGAATTTCTGGAAGTCCCCGGGTGGTTTTGGACGGGGCGAGGATGATGGCCTGATTCTTCGACAACTTTCAAGGCAATCCCGAACCTGTGCCGCCAAGACGTGCGCGATATGAGGGGATGTGGAAGTGACTGCTCTGGATCATCATCTATGCGCAGGCAAATGGTGTCGATATATTTCCTGTGCTGACCCACGTCCACCATGTGCCTCAACAAATTACCCCAGGGAGCTCTTGATGGCAGCGACAATGGAGATGGTCAAGCACCGCCTGCGCACTCACTCCTACGTTCGGCACTCCCCCTTAGGAGCTGCCTGATGGCTCCAGCTCATCAGCTGATGAACAAGACGCGAGCTAATCATAATGAACTTGCCTTAGGCTCAGTGAGGACAACATGGACCCATCAAGTACTGACTTGATTTTACAGGATCGTAAGTTCACCGGGATGTTTCTGACCAAGCAGCGGACAAAACTTCGCTGCGCAAATACTGAAGACCTATACCAATAGAAAGCATACTGCCGCACGGTACCTGTACATACCAATTGCGGTGCTCCGGCAACCCTGGGGCAGGGCACCTACCTGAGCAACAATGCTACACCACACGGTCACATGCAACGATTGCATGCGTATTGAGATCTGATGCCACTCCGTGTAACATAAGAAGTATGAAGGCGCACGCTTTCTCAGCACACCTGCTGGGTTGTTCGCCGTCTCCTCACCTTCCTCTTTATCCCCTTCCTCCTCCACGACTGCCTTATCTTCTCCTCTCTCCTTCTCACTCGTCATCCTCGTCCTCCCTCTCCTCCTCCTCAGTTCAGCTGCCCTGGAGAAGGACAGCGATAGGGCAGACGGTGGAGTCAAAACGAACGAGCTCACGGACCAACCAGAGCTCTGACTGCCAAATCATACATGCAGATTGTGGTTCATGCGAGAGTACTCCTGGACTGAGCATCTCTCCTCCTGCTCGTCCTGCTACTGCTCCTCCCTCCGCCCTCAGCATGTATCCTCATCCTCGTCTGGCTTCTCCCCACCAGCTGTCTGCACGCATGTATCATGAAGCAAGCGCTCATACTGTCGGGCGCGAGAAGAAGGCAGAACATGGAGGGATACATCCCAGTGCAGACGCTTGACGACAGCAGCCGAGTCACATATTCCCCGTCGACAGCTGGAGCACGGGCACGGTTGTTGATCTGGCCGGGCACTCCTGGAATCAAGTGGGGAACAATGCCAGTGTCGAAGCTCGGGCCACGGACACATGCATTTGCAATGGGGACAATGGGCATCCGTAACAGTACGAGAAAGAATCAAGAGGAAGAGGACCGCGCAGAGGAGGAGAAGGAGGAGGAGGAAGAGGAGGAGGAAGAGGAGGATAGGGGGAGAAGGGTAGAAAGGGAGAAGGGGGGAGGAGGAGGCGGAGAAAGGACGAGGGCGGGGGGGGGGGCAAAGAGGGAAGTTAGTGAGGAGGAGGAGGAAGAGTAGGAGGAGGAGGAGGGGGGAGGAGGGAAGGAGGAGGAGGAGGAAAAGGAGGAGGCGCGAGAAGGAACCAAAAGGAGGAGGAGGAGGAGGAGAGGAAGAGGAGGAGGAGGAGGAGGAGGAGGAGGAGGAGGAGGAGAAGGAGGAGGAGGTGGAGGAGGAGGGAGGGGGAGTGCGAGGAGAGGATAGCAGGGGAGAACGAGGCGCCGAGGAGGGGATCGAGGAGGGGCAAGCGAGGCACGGCTCAGGCGAGGACGCGCCCAGGCCATTAACCGTCTCCCATTAGCTTAGCAGCAGCGCTTTCCTCCTACTCTCATCTTATCGTCCTCGTCCTCGTCCTAGTAGTCTTACTCCTCTCCTCCTCACTCCTCCTCCCAACTCCTCCTCCTCATTCCTCCTCCTCCCTCCCTCCTCTCCTCCCTGCCTCCCTCCCCTCCTCCTCCTCCTCCTACTCCTCCTCCTCCTCCTCCTCCTCCTCCTCCTCATCATCATCATCATCATCGTGCTCCTCCCTCTCCTCCTCCTCGTTCTCCTTCTCCTCCTTCTCCTCCACCTCGTCCCCAGCAAGGCTCACCTTTGTCCGAAGGCGGCGGTGGAGAAACACTTGGAACAACGTCCAACATCAAGAACTAAATCCGGACATATACTTTTCAACTGTTTTTAGAGACGGCCATACTTCTGAGAAAAAGATGAGCAATTCAGGTGCTTGGATACGGAGGCGCCCCTGTGCAGGCCAGGGCATCGCATCTAAAACAAGTACTTACATCTGACTACTTCTTCTGGGCATACCAGAAACGGGGGGTCCTGCTAGGACTGGGAAGCAATCGACTCCACGTGTCTCTCAAAGGTTTGGATATGTTGTCCATGGGACCCAATAACTCTGCTCTCTATTCTCTAGTACAACAGAAGAAAGCACGCCATAAATATAACCTTTTGGCGCTCTGCGCGTATTTCTTGGATCTGCACTGGACCCCCCTCCCTGGCACGCGAAGCGCGCCAGGAGCGGCGCCAGAGGCGCCGCCGGGGGGGGCCCAACGCGGATCCGAGCAACCCGCGCGGAGCGCCAAAAGCTTATGTCTATGGCGTCTTTTCCTCTTCGATGAGATACACTCTCTGGTCTCAACTCTGCTCGGGGATATGCTAACCGGGGTCAATCAGACACGGGTCCGCAGGAAACCAAAAAGCTGCAATGCAAGAAAAACAAAGCTGCAACGCAGGGCTTCGCAAACCCGGGTCAGCCAACATGCGCGGCCGCCTCGCGGCCACGAGCGGCTCGCTGACCCGGGCCAGCCAAAGGGGATTTTCGCAGGATCCTGCAGGATCCGGTGCCCTGGCTGACCCTCGTTTGCACTGACCCCCGTCTCAAGGCTCCCGCTCTCGGGGGCGGCCAATAGGGGGGCGTCCAAAGAGAGGGGGGCGCAAATCATGGACGGCGGCACGTGCGCGGCGGGGGGAGGGGGGGCCAGGGACGCAATGAAATAAGAAGAGGCGTCGTGAAATGTGGGGAAACATCATGGCCCACGCCATGATATCCCCCCACCCCCTAGTCCCTAGTCATCACCCCAATCTTGGCCGCCCCCGACGATCTGCTCTCTGGTGCGGGGCTCCGCGCCCGGAACTGGGCAGTCGCCTGGAAGCCCAGGCGCCGCCCAGCGGAGTCTGCGCTCCGCACCGTCGCCGGGCTGGGGGCCACCACAAGCCAGGGCGCCTGGCCGCCCAGCGAGAGAGCGGCCCAAGAGACGCTCGCCAAAATCCTGCGACAGCCGCTATAGCGCGCTGATTGGGCAGTTATATGTGTATATACAAACATATGAATAGTTATATAGCTAAATATAAATACTAGAACCATCGCGCGCGGTTCGCGCGCGCTCAAGTTCTAGCTAGGCTTGATAGGCTAACTCATGTAAAATCATGTTGGTCGCTTCTTGCGTCCAGGGACTCCCTTGGAGGCCCTGAGCAAGCCTCGAAATCGTATAGAAGGGGAACACAGAAATCACACATTTCCTTCAAGTATTCAACGACTTGGGGCCCTCAAAGGCTTCCTGGGTTCTATTGGTCTGTTGTGCAATGTTAAAGCGGCGGCCAAACTCGGAAAAAAAATACTCATTTCGTGGAGCTCCCCATATGTGCATCTCATGCTTTATCTTATGCCGTAGTGAGCGTCTGTTCATGAGCGTTTGACTATAATAGCCCGTCCACGTTGGCGACAGGCCCGACGAAGATCTCCTCCACCTCCACCTCTTGCCTCTCACTCCTCCCCCTCCCCTCTCTCCTCCTCCTCTCCTCCTCCCTCCTCTCCTCCTCCTCCTCTTACTCTTATCCTCCTCCTCCTCCTCCTCCTCCTCCTCCTCCTCCTCCTCCTCCTCCTCCTTCCCCTTTCCTCCATCCTTACAATCTGCTATGAAAGCCAAGGATGTTGGGCATGAAAACGAGCAAACCGCCTGAGACATCCCCACAAACTGGCCGCGAACGGGCCCGTGATATACCCCCCGGCGGCTCCCCTTAGGGGTGCTGAAACCAGCGCCCCGCCTGAGACATCCTCAGAATCTGCGATGAAAGCAAAGGATGTTGGGCATGAAAACGAGCAAACCGCCTTAGACATCCCCCCAAACTGGCCGCGAACGGGCCCGTGATATACCCCCCAGCGGCTCCCCGTAGGGGTGCTGAAACCAGCGCCCCGCCTGAGACATCCTCAGAATCTGCTATGAAACCAAAGGATGTTGGGCATGAAAACGAGCAAACCGCCTGAGACATCCCCACAAACTGGCCGCGAACGGGCTCGTGATACACTCCCTGGCGGCTCCCCTTAGGGGTGCTGAAACCAGCGCCCCGCCTGAGACATCCTCACAATCTGCTATGAAAGCAAAGGATGTTGGGCATGAAAACGAGCAAACCGCCTGAGACATCCCCACAAACTGGCCGCGAACGGGCCCGTGATATACCCCCCGGCGGCTCCCCTTAGGAGTGCTGAAATCAGCGCCCCGCCTGAGACATCCCCACAATCTGCCGTGCGTTGAGTAACTCAGACTCTGAGAAGGTCTGAGTATGTGTGGGTCTGAGTATGGGTAAGTCTGTGTATGAGTACGTCTGGGTATGAGTAAGTCTGAGTATGAGTAAGCCTGTGTATGAGTACGTCTGTGTATGTGTACGTCTGGGTATGAGTAAGTCTGAGTATGAGTAGGTCTGAGTATGAGAATGTCTGAGTGTGCATAAGTCTGTGTATGAGCAAGTCTGGGTATGAGCAAGTCTGAGTAGAGGAGGAGGAGAGGAGGAGGAGGAGGAGGAGGAGGAAGAGGAAAGGAAGTAGGAGGCGTCCAAGTAATAACAAGAGCCCCATCTTAGGATATGGGGAAGAATTGTGAGATTTCAATTTGTTTGTCCAGTTCCTCGGCGCTGTTCGGCGCTGTTTTGTGTTTGTGCCTCGCGGGTTTTGTTAGCCGGGCCCCTCAAGAGTGTGGGATCTTCCGGACCCTCTGGGGGTTCTGGAGGCCTCCTGGAGGCCTGGAGAGCCGTCGGAAGGGTGTCTCGGGCTGCGCGGGAGCGTGTAGGGCCGTCCTTTACGTTCTGGGGGCTCGTTGGGGTCGTCTTGGGCTGTCCTTGGGCGTCTTGGGGCCCCCCCGGAAGACGGAAGACGCGGTACCAGCCAGATGTCAGGGGATGTGTGGGATCTCCGAGTAGGAGTCCCACTTTGAAAAAAAAAGGAATTCTGGGAATTACTTTTTTTTGTTCAAAACAATCGATCTCCGAGGGTTGGAAGCGGGAAAACGTGAGAAGGTGGAAAACATTAGAAGAACCATTGGAAATCAAAGATTTTACCCTCTTTGGGCTCTCTCGGGACGGCTCTCACAGCTCTCTTGGGCTTTTCTTGGAGACTCGTCGGGGTCTTTTTGGGGCCTCTCAGGGATTGGAGGTGTGTTGGGGGCCTCTGGGTGGTCCCGGAGGCCTCTCGGAGGTCTCTGAAGCCTCCTGCTCCCGCTCTTGGGCCCATCTTGGGCCTGTTCTGGGGTGGTCTGGGGCTGTCCTGGGCGCCTCTTCGGCAGTCTTGGAGCCTTCTTGGCCCGTCTTGGGGCCGAAGTTCGAAAACGCGAGAAGCCAAAAACATGTTAAACATCAATGACAATCAACGATTTTGGCCTCTCCGGGCCGTCCCGGAACGCCTCTCGGACCTCTCTTGGGGTCTCTTGGAGGCCACCTGGGAGCCTCGAGAGCCGTCGGAAAGCTGACTTGGGCTGCTTGGGAGTGCCTGGGACCATCCTTTCGCATTCGGAGGGCTCCTCGGAGGCGTCTTGGGCCCTCCTGGGGCGCTGTGGAGGCTCCCCGGAAAGGCCGGGGGAGCAGTACTGGGAGCGTCCCCGAGATGTCACGGGGAGGTGTTGGACCCGGGGCCGGGGGGGGGGGCGATATCTATCTTTATACGTATGATATATATATATATATATTATATATATATATATATATATATAATATATGTATATACAAGTGGCACCTGTGTGCCCAGGCTCATACAAAAAACTGAAAGGGCGTTTGAAGCAGGAAGACACCATGACTGCAGGATCGGAGATGGAGAAGGGGAAGCTGAGGCGGCGCCGCCAGGGCGTGCCTAAGAAAAGGGGAAGAGGCAGGAGGTGAACGCAGAAGAATCTAAGATCGAGGTCGCACTCGAGCGCAAGTGGGGTTGCCACACCTTGCGATGTGTGTACCAAGGACCCCCAGGAAACCTCGGGAGGCCCGACTTGGATACCGGAAGAGGCTCCAGGAGGCCCCGGGACTGTGAGTGTTGTGTGTGTGATGTGTGCTCTGTGTTGAGCGTGTTTTCTGTGCGTTGTAGGTGTTGTGTGTGTGTGTTATGTTTGTCTAGCATGTGATGTGTTGGGTGTGATTTGTGTCCCTGTGTGTGCATGTAGTAATGAAGCCCCAGGAGGCCCCAGGAGGCCCCAGGCGGCCTCAGGAGGCCCCAGAAGACCTCAGGAGGCTCCAGGAGGCCCCAAGAGGCTCCAGGAGGCCGCAGGAGGCCCCAGGAGGTTCCAGGAGACCCCCAGGAGGCTCCGAGGCGGGGTCTGGGGTACCAGAAGGTACAGAAAGCCCCAGGAGGCCCCAGGAGGTTCCAGGAGGCTCCCAAGAGGCTCCGAGGCGGGGTCTGGGGTACCAGAAGGTACGTCGGGGCTCGATTTGGGGAGGATGTCTCAGGCGAAATCGCCATTCTCTGAGAATCGGGGTCAAAATCATTGAAATTACAATGTGTTTTTGAAGGTTTTATATTAGAATGTTGTAATTCCCATGTGTTTTTGCACCCTGACGTCACGATCCGCGTGAGGGGTGCCACCGATTTTCAAAATTTCGAGGATGTCCCTAGCGAAACGGCCAGACAAATCGCGAACGCCGCCTTCAATTAATCGGCTCTGAGGTCTACTCCCTCGGAGAGGTGCGTATGGTAATACATATACATATATATATATATATATATATATGTTTACATGTGTGTATATATAAACAAGACTGCAGTGGCGCTTCGCGCCATGCACCTTGGTCCTTGAAGTTTGGTACGCAGGCGGAATAGCAGGAAGGTCAAGTCGACAATTTAGCGATAACTCCTTATTGCCTTTTCCGGCATCGCCGCTATAATAATGTTATTCGCTTTCCTTCCTCCATGCTTCTTTTTCTTTATTTTCGCCATACCCTGCGCATTCTCCCCATCCTCCTCAGCTCTTTTATGTTTTATGCGGAGGCTCCTCCTTGGAGAGCCTCTGGGGGCCTCACAAAAGATGTTTCAGGCTTTCTTAAGGCCTTCTGGAGGCCTCCTGGGCGTATTCTGGGGGCCTCTGGGGGCTTCCTCGGACAACCCTGCCTCCAACCGCGGTCTCCCTGAACGACCGGGTCACGATTTGGAATGCTTCGGAGGGTGTCTTTGGGCCATCTTGGGCCGCCATGGGGCTCTCTGAGGGCCATCTTGGACCCGTGTTGTGCCGTTTTGGGGCTCGCTTGGACTGCCTGGTAACCCTTTCGGATGGTTGTGGGGTGATTTGGGAGCCTCCCAGGCGGCTTCGGACGCCCAGAAGACCGCCGTCTTGGAGCGTCGGGAAGCCGAAAAGAGGAGAACCCCAAAATTCACCAACAACCAACAGAAAGTCAATGATTTTTGCCTCTGGGGACCTTCTTGGGAATGCTCTTGGAGGCCTCTTTAGGGCCGTCCTGGAGGCCTCTTGGGCCATCTTGAGGTCACGTCGATCACTTTTGGAGCGCTCTTGTGCCGTCTTGGTGGTCTCTGGGACGTCTCCGATGACCCCCCTGATCGCCCTCGGTGTGCTGGGAAGGCTTGGCAAAACGCCCTGCGAGGCCCGGGGGCCGCTTCGAGGCCCGTCCGGAGGGTCCCAAAGCCCCAGATCCCGGGAGTCCGGTTTTGGGTGGGGTGAGGTGGGGGGTTTTCCCCCCGCCCGGGCTTGTAAAAATATAGGAAGAGGTATATAATATTTGTATATATATGTATATATAGTCATATTCCTATGCATAATCATATACAGTTCACACATACATATACATACATACATATTATATACATAAGGAAAAACAGCAACAGTTCTCGCTGGGTTCTGAGTGTCTGTTGTAGGAGGCAGCCAGCTCGGGCGCCGAGCAGTGCGAGCCACGCCGTGGCGAGTAGATGGCGGCCCTGAGACAGGGAGCTCCCACCTGCCGCGAGGAAGCGCTGATAGGGCAGTTTGATACATGCAACGAGCACGAATTGCAAAAAAACAATGTACAGTAGGGTCCCGACCACAAGAACCCCAACCCTGAGACCCCAGGACGTCCATCGAGTTTTGATGTGGGAACGTCACGTACTCCCCAGCAAAACCATCGAAACCCAAGAAACCCAGGGCAACCTGGAGGCAAGCAAGGTGTTTCTTGGCGTGGGCCTCCACTGTACATGCAACGGGAACGAATTACAATCAACAGTGTAGATGCAGAAACTTGGGTGGGCAAGTCAACGGGTACTGCTGATGAGGAACACGTTGTGGAAGCAGACGCGTGGGCAAAAGTATTATGGGTCCGTGGCGGCGGTGGTGGCAGGAGATGGTGGTGGTACTGGGGATGTGTGGCGATGTAGAAGGAGGAAGTCAACGACGACCGCGACGACATACATGCTTGGTGACTTGAATATGTTCGGTAGTAACTTGCCATTTCAATGGCTCTTGCGACTTGACACTAATCGGCGCCAGTCGACGCACATCGACGCTAAATCGACGCGAGTCGATGCTAAAGCGGCGCTATCTCATCGATTACCAGACGCCAATCGACGCCAGTGCACTCTAAAGACGAAGTTGCGAGGGTGCACGAGGCCCCCATGACCTGCTGGCGAAAGTGTGGGGAGCGAGGAGGCAACTGCACATCAGTACGCACAAGAGCAGGAGCTACACAACCCGTGAGCGCGAGGAGAACGCGACAGCCGCAACACGCGGGCAGCACAGAACGCAGCACCGAGGTCTGCGCGACACGGATCCGGCGGGGCGGCGCCCGCGCCGCCTGGTGGAGCGTCAGCGAGAGCGACTCGAACTGCATCCGGAGATTCATGAACCTGGCGCCGTGCAGCCGCGGGGGGGGGGGCAAGCGGAGGAGGGTGCGACGCGCCCCTTGGCAGCCAGGTGCGGATCCGCCCTCCCCCTCTCGCTCGCTCCCCATCTGCTGGAAGTGGGGGTGGGAGGAGGGGGAGGATCCTGTTCATCCTCCTCTTCCTCCTCCTCCTCCCGCCCTGCCAAGGCGAAGGAAGTGCAGGAGGAGGACGAGAAGGAGTCGGAGGAGGATCCTCTTCCTCCTCCTCCTCCTCCTCCTCCTCCTCCTCCTCCCACGCTGCCAAGGTGGCGGAAATGCAGCACGTCTTTGCACCTCTCCTGCAAGCTGCCACAACAATGTTGGGCAACAGCTGCTCGTTTCATCGTCACTTACGGCGCTACCCCTCTCCCATCCCCTCTCCCGTTCCTTTCCTTCCTCCCTCTTCCCCTTCCTTTCTTCCTTCCCTCTCCTTCCTCACTCTTCCTCTTCCCCCGGTCACTCTGCCATCCCCTCCCCTTTCCCTTCCTCAACCTTCCCCTACAAGTGCGAGGTCGTCAATATGTTGTTTGTTGTGCGTGCGTGTGCGTGCGTGCGTGCGTGCGTGCGTGCGTGCGTGCGTGCGTGCGTGCGTGCGCGTGTGTGTGTGTGTGTGTGTGTGTGTGTGTGTGTGTGTGTGTGTGTGTGTGTGTGTGTGTGTGTGTGTGTGTCTCGGCTTGTCCTTGGCTGCCCTCACTGCGCCCCTCTGGGCTGGGCTCCGTGCTGCCCTCCCGCCGCGCCTCACTGCAACACGGCTCGGCTTGGCAGGCCGCCCCGTCGCAGCTTCCTGGCGACCCCGCGTCGGTCCGCTGCCTTGACTGTCACTGTCCCGCTTTGTCTGCGCATGGCATGCTCGAACCAATGAGACCCCTGCCCTCTTCCGAGGGGCCGCCCGCAAGTGCGCGAATGCGCTCCTCTCGCTTGGATACATGATCCGCCTCGTCGCTGCGCGAGAGGCCGCGACCGCCAAACAGTGGGTGTGTGTATATCTGTCTGTCGGTCGGTCGGTCTGTCTGTCTGTCTGTCTGCCTGCGTGTCTGTCTCAGCCTGTCTGTCTGTCTGTCTGTATGTCTGCCTGCCTGCCTGCCTGTCTGTCTCTACCTATCTGACCCTCTGTCTGTCTGTCCGACTGTCTGTCTGTCCGACTGTCTGTCTGTCTGTCTGTCTGTCTGTTTTCTCGCAGCGTGGAGCCCCGTAAATCTCGACACACTCCCTGGGATTATCCGCGCTCTCCTCGCAGGTACGGGCTCTTCCCTGGCGGCCTGGCCTTTTGTCCCGCGGGCGCGGTGACGCGACCAGGAGCAGTCATGTTTGGTGCGCTCTTCAAAAAAAAACTGCGCAGGTCGATTTTCCAAGTTGCCGCTGGAACCTTGGCGACTCGCAAGTCAGTAAATTCTGCAAGGCCTCCTGACGGGCCTGTGGCACAGCATATCGAAAGGCCCCTTGGGGCCATCCTGGGCCTCCCGGGAGCCTCCTGGGGGGCGGAGGGTTACGCGGGACCTCCTGCAGTTGTGATTGTTATTCTTATTCTGAAGTGGGGGGGCGCGCGCTTTGCTGTGCTGCGCCGCGATCCCCACCGCCGGTGGGCGTGCGGAGCAGGAGGAGGCCGAGGAGGAGCAGGAGCAAGAAAAGGGGGGCCCAAGCAGGGCGCGCGTGCGCGCGCAGGCCCCCGCCGCTCTAGTGGGAACGTGCGAGCGGAATTCACTCGAGGCCCTCGCGGGCGCAGTCGGCGGCGAACTGCTGCCCCACCAGCAGAAGGTCCATCTTGTACTCGTGCGGGCGTGCACCACCACGAAGGCGATCGCGGCCCCGTCGCTGCCCAACGCCTGGGCAGCCACGTGGTAGAGGCGAGCCTGGCTGTTCGTAGTCTGGACGCCCGAGCTGACGAAGTTCGAGATCGCGATGCCCAGCGAAAAAGCTGGATTTGGGTGCCCGTGGGATAGGCCCTCCACCGCGTAGCTTCCTACGGTGTAGCACAGGCCGGTAACGAGTGCGAAGTGGAAGCTCCTGGTGGAGGGAGCCTTAGAGTACCTCGGGGACTTCGCAGTCGTCACGCACATCACGACAAGAGCCATGGCCGCCGTTAAGATTGCCTCCCCGCTGATGAGAGCGGGCCAACCATAGCCATCCTCGGTGATGGGGCCCATGTCGACGAACCTGTCTTTGTTGAACATCGAATTTATTGGGCGGTGAAGCATGCAGACCTTCAGCGCCGCGCAGATCGCCGCGCAGCCCTGCGCCAGCGCGAAGGAGGTCCCATCGGCGACTGGGCACCCTGGCCAACGGCTAAGGAACGCCGCGAGCGTCACGGCAGGGTTGAAGTAGGACCCCCAAATACTCCCGAGGGCGTAGGCGAGGGACAGCATCGCTGCGCCGGTGGCCGAAGCCATCAGGGAGGGCCTCTACGTGTCCGCCGCTCGCGTGCCGATCGGGGTCGCGCCCTTGGCCGCATGGCCGTGGATGTGCGGCACGTGGACGAAGACGGGCTCTGTCCGGTTGCGCTGCGTCTGGTCCACCGCGGAGTGCTCTGTAGCCTGTAGCCATCTGCTGGTTCACAATGGCGAGAACGAGCGGGAACGTTACCACGCACGTGCCGAGGAGCTCCGCGAGCCAGCGCGCGGACACCTGCACCGCGCAGGTCTCGCACGTGTGCGCCTTCAGGACCTCGGCGCCCAAGCCGCCTTCCGAGTCCATCGCCGCGCCGCCTTCGCCCTCCGCCCGGCGCCGTGCGCCACAGCACGCGAGCGCTTTGAAGGCGCGCTCGCAGTTGAGCCCGGCGACGACCGCCTCGACGACCTCCTCGAGTAATGACTTTGAAACGAAAGTTAAAAGTGCCTGAAATTGCTGAAAGGAAGGGATTGGAACGAGTGTTGCTTGGCAAGAATGTCGGGTGCATGACGCGTTTGATCGTCTCTTGCCTTGCGTCCCCTCTGGATGCACCATGAAGTAGAGGACCACGGCTGCGTGCGCCGCTATAGGAGCTGGCACGCCACGTGGCAGCCGACGGCGGAGAAACCGCCGACTTGCTGCTGGCGACGCCGAACTCAATTTTGTAGCCGCCGGCTGGAGGAACGCACCCGAGACGTCGTTGGTGCAGTGCCCGCTACGGTGGAAGCCCATGCCAAGTAACACCCTGTTTGCCTCCAGGGTGCCCAGTGTCTCTTGGGTTTCGATGATTTTGCTGTGAAGTACGTGATGTTCCCGCACCAGAAATCAGTGGACGTCCTGGGGTCTCAGAATTGGTTTTCTTGTGGAAGGCTTCTTGTGGACTGGCTTCCACTGTATGGCCACGAAGCCGACCGCGAGCGCGAAGTGCTGGTTCCTGTCCCCTGGAGAATGGGCCCGCGACGACGCCATGCAGTTCAGCGCCACGAAAGCGATTGTTGTGCTGAATTTGAGCTCCACGACGATGGCGTCGATAGAGTCGAACCCCGCGCGCACGCCAACGCCCACGATCTTCTGCAGCATCGCGGTGGTGGTGAGCGCCGCCACGAGCCCGGCGGCCATTTAGACGATGACGTAGAGTACCACGCGCGGCCACGGCATCTTGCCCGCCAGGCCCAGGGCGAACAAGACCGTCGGGTTGAGGTGGCTCCCCGACACGGCGCCGGTCGCGCACATGGTGACCATGATGGGCATGGCGATCGACGTCGTGCGGCATCCATGCCGCATCGCCGCTGCTGACGCGGCACCCAGTGGTGATGATAACGAAGAAGGTGCCCACGAACTCGGACACCTCGGCTGCATCGATCGGCCGCCTCCTTGCCGCCCCGTTGCCGTCAACTTGGGGGGCCCGTCGACATTGTGCCGCGTCGTCTCCCGTTGCCGCCTCGATGCTGCCCGTTTGAGGGGTCCATCGGCGAGGATTCGCGGCGTCGCCACCAGTTGCCGCCTCGTTGCTGCCCAATTGGGGGGCTCGTCGAAGCTTCACCATGGGGCGATCACCTCGGCTGCATCGATCTGCTGCATCGTGGCCTCCAAGCGCACACCCGCCCGACCGCCAGCGCGCGGCGGCCGGATACGCCGCCTGACCACGGAAAGTCCTGTAGGACGAGGCGAGAGCGGCACGGGCCGCAGGAGGAGGAGGACCAGCGTAAACCCAAGAGTCATCGACGATGTTGGAATTAACCCTCCCTCCAAGCTCCCTCTTCAAAAGGCCCCTACACTGTTCGCTTCCGCTGAGGGAACTGCCTCGTTGGAAGACAACCGTTTGAAGACCCTGAAGCACCCAACGCCACGGATCAACCTGGCTGCTGCGTCTTGACGATCCGGAGTCGTGCCAGAACGCCGTTTTTGGGCCTTCAACACCGCGAATCAACATAATCGTTGTGCCCGCATAATCCTGAATCTTCCCACAACACCATCTCTGGCACGGTTGATCATGGGAACCCGTGAAACTCTTCCAAATGTTACGAACGAATGTGCGCGGCGCAAAGGCGAGAGCCACATTTGGAAAACGACCCGCCCTCACCCTGTGAATCTCTTGCAAGAATTGCGAACTAATATGCGCGGCGCTATGGCGAGAACCACATTTGGAAAACGACCCACTCTCAATCCGTGAAGCTCCTGTATTTATTGTACAACGAATGTGCGCGGCGCTAAGGCGAGAGCCACATTTGGAAAACTACCCGTATCCGTAAAACTTCTGCAACTTGTTTAAACGAATGTGCGCGGCGCTATTGCGAGAGCCACATGTTGAAAACTACCCGCCCTCATTGCGTGAAACTCTTGCAATTTGTTAAACGAATGTGCGCGGCGCTAAGGCGAGAGCCACATTTTGAAAACGACCCACCGTCCATCTGTGAAGTTGTTGCCACTTTTTTAAGCTTCAGAGTCAGAAGTGGTGCGGAAGTCTCAGGCGAAACGTCCGGCCCGCCCTAAAAACTGGCCTCGGGGTGCGACAGGGAGAAGTTGTCTATAAGAAAAAGGAATGGAGGAGGAAGAGGAGGAGGAGGAGGAGGAGGGGGAGGAGGCGAGAGCGGCACTGGC